ATAATTTTATTAACAAAAGTACGTAGGAATACATTATTGTTTCACTAGATACAGGACTTCAAACAAAATACCACAAAATATTGGTACAGTACAGTAACAGTACAAACAATAAATATAGGTGTTTACCAAGTGTCCAGATGTTTCTCCACATTTGATCTTGGAATGATGGATAGGTGAGTATGGTGTTAACTAAGGGTGGAGGTAGATGTTGAGGGTTACACACACAAGGAACACAAGAGGCATAAGTTTGCGCTTTCTTGGAAGCTCTCTAAAAAATTTGAGTGTTAATTGCCTCAAGCCACCTCTGCAATTTTGAAAACTGTATAAAATCTATAAAATGCCATCAGACTCTGAGGAGTGTCATCAGATCTTCTCTCCATGAACTTTAAAATGGTTTCAAAGCTCTTCTCCACCTCTGACGAATCTTCTGAATCCTGCAAATTTACCCAGCTATTTTCTGTTACCAAATTAATGATATCATCATCAGACATGCTTGGTGCAGTAGGAACATCTCTATCACACTCAATCCATGCATCCACTTCTTCCTCAAGATTGGCTGTGATCAGTTCATTTCTCATATGTCAGGACTGTTCATTTATTCCTTTAACATAGGCAAGGAGTTATTGTCTTAATTTCATCATCTCGTTGATTTTCCTTCCACCAAATCCTTCAAAACCGGCAGCATTGTCGTTGTCGTTGTCAGGAAACAAACCAGCTGCAGGCCAAGGTATGTTTGGGGCATGCTTCATGGTTGATTGCTTGACCATTTTCCATGCATGTGAAATACACCACACAGCTGACTTTATAGTAAATGTTTTCTCATAAAGTCCTTGACGATACCCGTCTTTGCATTGAGTTGTCTTGCGAACTCATTTCTGTAGTGGAGCTTGAGGTTCAAAATTATTCCTTGGTCCATGGGTTGTATCAAGGAAGTTATGTTGGGTGGCAAAAATATTCCAAACATACAGTATTGCCCTTAACTAGCTCATCTTCATATGGATGTGTTGAGCTATTATCAAGAAAGAGCACTACTTTGTTGTTCTCTAGTAAACCAATGCTCTTAAAATGGTTTTTCATTTCGGGTACAAAATGACTTAATTTGAGTGTGCCAGCTGCATTTGCACAAACAAGTAAAGAGAGCCGTTCTTTATTTGTCTTGAACCTAGTTGAACAACCTCTTTCATCCTGATGAGTGAATGTACAATCATCTAACGTGCACCAATACAAGCTTATTTCGTCGGCGTTATAAATTTGCTTGGGAGATAAAGAATCATCCTGCACGATCTGAAATTTTGACACACATTTCTCTGCACCTTTTGCATCAGCAGATTGTTTTTCATCTCGCAATTTCAAATGCCTAATTCCATGACGAACCTTAAAGCCCCTTAGCCGCCCATCACTGTATGCACAGTTATTATGAAGCCTCATTTCTTGGTGAAAATGCTTGGCTTTTTCCTTAATAAGCAATCCTGGCACTGGCTTCTTTGATTCGTCACGTGTCTGCCTGTACCATTCCCATACAGCCTCTTCAACACTTAACATGTGCACTACTAACAATTTTTCTATTGTGCATTGCTTCATCACTCTCACTTTTAGCATGACTTGCAAAAATCTTATCTTTAGCCGTCAATATTTCACAGAGTGGTTTTACTAACTTTGTACTTGGTACACACAACACTTCTAGGAATTCTAGTTTCAACTTCCTTTATAAGCTGAATATTTTGTTCAAAAGTCATCACATGTTTTTCTTGGCTCTACAGCTTGTTGAATCCCTAAACAACAGCTTTCCTGCATTTCTTAGTGCCATAGTACCAGGATAAAAAATATATGCACAGATATAAAATGGTACTGTAAGAGGGGAGACGTCTTTGTATGCCACGGGCGGCCACAAAAACAATACCGGTTCATCGAGCAGGTGCAAAGGTCGCGCCACAGTGACACGGTAGTCGGCTGTGTGAAACTACATAGGCATAGGCCTCTCATGAGTTAAGACACTGCTTGGGACCGGACAGTAAATGAATAGATGGAATAAATGAAAGATTGAGGTCCGGCAGTTAGGTCGAGGAGTGTAGTGCGGTCAGGTTTGTTTTCAATTTACAATTGAGAATTCTGTGTTTGAATCTCTGGCAGGACAGAAATGGTTGGGCACTTTCCCCATCATCATATTATATTACATATGATTGTAATATTTTTTACTTTCATTCAAAACATAGAAATTTTACCACCCTAACCTATCATAACCTAACTAAGTCAGTATTTCATGTTCCTAAAATAATATATTATTTATTGTTAGAAAGGAACCAATCTGAAAAGAAATATTTGAAAATAATGAAAATCAATTGGCCAGTTAGGCAAATCAGACCTTGCATACTAGGCCAAGTACTATAGTGTGGTTCAGGTTATTTAAAAGTGCCCAAAAAAATATTGGAAATTTCTTTTACAAACAGAGTGGTAGATGGTTGGAATAAGTTAAGTGAGCTTAAATGAGTTGGAGGCCAAAACCGTCAGTAGTTTCAAAATGCTATATGACAGTACTTGGAAGACAGGACACCACGAGTGTAGCTCTCATCCTGTAGCGACACTTGGGTAATTACTTGTTAGTAAGTAATTACACACAAACACACATGTGTTGTGCCTAAAAAACTGCCACTAAATGGCTTCCAGAACTGAAGGACAAGAGCTACGAGGAGAGGTTAGTGGCATTAAATATGCCAAAACTAGTAGACAGAATAAAGAGAGGTGATATGATCACTACATATAAAATAGTAACAGGAATCAATAAAATTGATAGAGAAGATTTCCCAAAACCTCAAACTTCAAAAACAAGAGGTCATAGATTTTAACTAAACAAAGGTGCCAAAAAAATATATGAAAATTCACTTTTGAAAACAGAGCAGTAGACGGTTGGAACAAGTTAGGTGAGAAGGTGGTGGAGGCCAAACCGTCGATAATTTCAAAGCGTTATATGACAGAGTGCTGGGAAGACGGGACACCACGAGCGTAGCTCTCATCCTGTAACTACACTTAGGTAATTACATATACAAAAAAGTGCAAGTTACATATCAAAATGTGTATGTTGATGTGTTTACACTAATCATTTAAAGACACTTATTGATGAGGTATGTCACTGGAGTCAGGCCTACAGTGTGTGTGTTATATATACTCACATTGTACTGCACTCGAATCTTACCCAGTTAAATCAATCGACAAATATTTTAGTAACAAAATAATCATACAGTAGATTTTAACATTTCAATGTGATGAGTAAAATTATTTAACTGAAAATGATTTAACAATAAAACACCTTGAATTCTACTGTGGTATTGAAAAATACCAGAAACAAATGCTAAAGTCCTCAATTACATCATTTTTCTCCATCTGTGTATGCTACATATTAAAAATTTGTTTTATATTCAAATATACATTCAAATATCTTGTAAATTAACAGGAATTGTGTTTATACACAAGGTTGTGCTAATGCTATCATTAAATATATATGTATGCAAAACATTTGAACATTTACTTTTTAAAGTGATTTTGGTATTAAAATGTGCAAATGTTCTTTCATTTTCACTATTAAAAACATAATACTGGATGCAACAGTAGTTCTTTTGTTTTGGATAGGTCCAGTATGAATATGTTCATTATATATAAATGATATGGATTAAAACAAATGTTATTTAATGGTACATACTGTAGTTTGTAAGTGATTCACTTGTAAAACTGTGAACATACATTATCATGAAGTACAACTACAGTATTTGTAAACAAATGCAGAGTAATCTTTATATAATGTAACCTTAAGGAGGCTAAGATATACAACTGCTGTACCAGAAATATCTAATAAGAATAAAATAATATGTTATGATATTTGTCCAGTCAAATATTCATCACGTCCAAGACAAAAAAGCATAACAAAGAACAACAAAATAGCTATTCTGCATAGATATTTTGCCACAAAAAATGACACATGTATAGAGAATGGAATAATGACTGAAGATAAAATAACCCATTATTAAAAAATTTACTTACCTAATATTTTGCACATATATTTTATTTGATGCACGAGTTAATCATATTAGGAGACTAACAAATATATGTACAATATACAGTAGAGTTACCGGAACCTGTATTTCATCTGTGTCTGTTTTTTATCTGTATGTGTATGCATACACATGCATGCATGCATGCATACATACATACAAACATATATACATACCATACATATACATCACACCAGACCTGTCCCCTGAAGCCTACATCAAAGGGATAACATCAGGAGCGTATGCAAAGCTGGCGAAGATAAGAATTGCCTTCAGAAACTTGTGTAAGAAATCATTCATTACCTTGTATACCTCATGTCAGACCAATACTGTAATATGCAGCTCCAGTGTGGAGTCCACATCTAGTCAAACACAAAAAGTTAAAAAAGATTTGGAGGCATGCCACCAGGCTAGTCCCCGAGCTAAGAGGAATGAGCTATGAGAAAAGATTACTGGAACTGAATTTCACGACACTGGAAGACAGAAGAGTTAGGGGAGACATGATCACTACCTACAAAAGTCTTAGAGGAATTGACAGGGTAGATAAACTGTTTTAACATGGTTGGTACGTGAACAAGGGAACACAGGTGAAAACTGAGTACTCAAATGAGCCACAGGGTCATTAGAAAAAATGTTTTCAGTGTCAGAGTAGTTAACAGATGGAATGCATTAAGCAGTGATGTGGTGGAGGCTGACTCCATACAGTTTCAAATGTAGATATGATAGAGCCCAGAAGGCTCAGGAATCTTTACACCAGTTAAGAGGCAGGACCAAAGAGCAAGAGCTCAACCCTCGCAAGCATAACTTGACGAGTACATATATATACAGATGTACATGTACTGTATACACATACATATGAATGTATGTACATGTGTACAAGCATACACACACAGTACAGATATTCACATTTACTAGATCACATTACTAGAACAGGTCTCAAATTCTTACTACTTCTTATTTCAGTTTTACTCAGTTTATTTTAAAAACTATAGTATTATACATAGTCAAGTACTATATTATCATTAGAACAATATGAATGCACTTACATATTTTCAGTTTATGAAATTTGTTTGAAACAATATAATTAGTACTGTACACAGTACTATAGGTCTTAGATTTGTCCTTAATGCTACAAGTACAAGGAAACCCATAATTGCAGTTACTCTCCAAATGAACTACGATGTATACCCCATAATACTAATTCTGTAATATAATATATACATGTAATATGTACATGTAAAACCCGACTTGTGGAAAATAAATCTTCCAAATGTTTTTAAAGTTAAGAGTAAGAATAAATGTGTATGCAAACATACAGCTACCCCAGGTATCTTCACTGAGACATCTATATCACATCAATATTTGAATTATTGCTACAACCCCCAAACTGAATCAAGTATTTGAAAGAAGCTTCATATAAGGCACAAATGGTGTATGGGAGAAGAGAGAGAGAGATGAGCATTCCTCTCCAGTATCCACCTGAGGAGAATAAAATACACATCAATGATGGCAAGTCAGCAATATATTACTGTATGTATGTATGTACATTATGTTTTTATGTATGTGTATGAGTATATAATAATTATAATAATTCATTGTGTCAGGGGACAGGCAGCCAGAATGTATTCACACACGTTAGGCTTATATTGGTCCCCCTCCCCCCTCAAGGTCGAATTACTGACCCCGACCAGGATGCAACCCCACAACAAGCTAATTAACTCCTGGGTACCTTTTTTATCAACAATGTGTGTCAACTTCAGTGAGATTCTTTTCATGCAGTTATAGGACAAAATGATAATAACCTTTACAAATGTGTGGTCGAGCAGCTGTGCAACTGTTGACCGAGATTTTGGGTCGTGGACAAAACACCCAGCTAGGAACTCATGACCTTCTTCTGAGAGTTGTTTAGGTATGGTCGGGGATTCTCCCATACCAACACGGAACATTATCTGCACACTGCTGTCATACTCTGGCCATGGTCTCTGGAAAAAGATATTACAGTACTTTTACTATGTAAAATATTGAACAAAAATATTAATCAGACTACTCATGCCCATTCAATATTTGTAATGAGCTCATTAAGTGATAATCTTTATAGCTACAGTACTAAGTTTTGTATTGAGTACATTGATAGCGGGTTGCATAACACTCTAATACAATTCAAAACATGGTATGTAGCATAGAGCAGCATTAGGACAAAACTCATTCTTAACTTAGAGAGTATAGTGTATATGTACAACACAGTATTAGGCATAAATTAAATTATGGTACAGTATTGTCTTTCTTTTCTAATACTGTATAGTATATTGTATGCCTTAATTTTTTCTTCACCAATCTTCCCTGTTACAGTGTCTAATAGGACAATGAGCAATAACCTAAGTGTAGTTACAGGATGAGAGCTACGCTCGTGGTGTCCCGTCTTCCAAGCACTCTTCGTCATATAAAGCTTTGAAATTACTGACAGTTTTGACCCCCACCACCTTCTCACAAAACTTCTTCCAACCGTCTATCACTCTGTTTGCAAAAGAGAATTTTCTTATATTTCTTCGACAGCTTTGTTTAGTTAGTTCAAATCTATGACCTCTTGTTCTGGAAGTTCCAGGTCTCAGGAATTCTTCCCTATCAAAAATTTATCAATTCCTGTTACTATTTTGTACGTAGTGATCACATCACCTCTTCTATTTTCTAATTTTGGCATATTTAATTGCCTTAACTTCTCCTTGTTGCTTTTGTCCTTCAGTTCTGGGAGCCATTTAGTTGCATGTCTTTGCACCTTTTCCAGTTTGTTGATGTGCTTCTTAAGATATGGGCACATACAACCATTGCATATTCCAGCTTTGGTGGAATACTGGTGTAGACTATTTGTCATGCAAACATCCGTACTTTGAATAAATATCCTATTTTCATGTGCTGTAAAATGTGTTTGACAATTTGCTTTTCCAGATATGGTACTGCTAATATTTTTATTTTAATAAACATTTAAGTGCATTTGTAGTAGTGCTTACTTTGCCAGTTGCCATCTCAATAACAACACACCCGACAGACCAAACATCTGCCGCTCGACCGTGCCCTTCACTCGACTGGAAAATTTCTGGGGCCATGTAAGCTGCAAAACAATAAAAATGGAACTGTTACTATCCTTGTACTGAAGAGTTAGATCAGATAGAAGGATAAGCCTTCAGAAATTTAGATTATCTTTTAGTACAGTACAACATTATGAATTAAAATAAAAAGAATACTTTATTTGTAAAACAGCACATGTTATTTGCTTTATTGTCCGAAACGCTATGCATATTAGTGGCTTTAGGTATTGTATGTACTAGCTCGATCTTTAAATTCCAACATTATGTTTGTAACTCATCTTTAATGTATGTACCCTTACCTGAATAAAAAATCTATCTTTATACATACAGGATGTGTAAGTTCAAATATCTTGATCTTACATTAAAATATCATCCAAACTAGGTAGCATGCTATTCACCATTTTATTATATATTTTGTTACTGTACTTCTCTTTTTTTTTGTACTGGTTCAGATACAATTATTACAAACCATAACAAAGTTCTATGTGAAGCCTCAGCTTTATTGAGTAACAGACTTTAAAAAAAATGTGTCACAGTGTTTTGAAAACATCTGTAAGGAAAACACATTCACAGGCAGAAGGCTAACTCATAATTTAACATTCCCCTAATTTTGTCACAAGTATCCAAAGAAAGAAAGAAATATTTTACCATGTGTGCCAGCTATTCCTGCCAGTTCTCCTATTTCTGTCTGATGTCCACGCAGTCTGACAGCACATCCAAAATCTCCAAGTTTTAAAGTATTTCCTTCTTCAGAAAGGAAGATATTTGCACCTTAAAAGACCAAAAATACATGCAATATATAGAACAAACTATTTGTATAACAAATACCTTCAGCAATTTCAAGAAAAGAGCACTAAAATGCATACTCACTCTTTGAACCCACTGAAGGCATCAGCATTTTGTGCTGCAAGGTAACATACTACTACATGCATACTACACAAGTGTTGTTCCACACACTTTATCTATAACCCCAATGCCATGTTCCTTTCTGGGAGCTTTCCATCAGAGGGTTGCCATAGCAGAAGTTTCTCCAGGGGAATCTATCATCACACAAACCTTTCACTCTGTTCAAAACAACCTTTCCCAACCCCCCAGACCTCTTCTTATATACCATTCCACTATTCACTTTCTTATATACCATTCCACTATTCACTTCTCGTCATCTGCCTAGAATCTACCATATGATATATTTATTTCGCTCTTGTACACCCTCCTCATTAAACAAGTCTGAAGCATTCTACCAACATGTCCATATTACCTTGGTATACTGTGCTTTGCCCATTCCACCCCTGCACATTTCATTTCCTCACCCCATTTCATCAATACCACATCTCTCATTTACTTCCTCATTGCTATACATACCCCAAATACACCAGCTGAATTTCTTAACCTAATTTAAACTTCTTGCATTCTTGAGCACTCTGCCCCTTTCCATATCCAAGCTTCACTCCTTTGTCGAGGCTAGGAGTAATACATCTCATTCTTCCTCAACTTTCAAACTTACAGTTTTCATTTTATTATACTGTACAATACTATTCACCTCTCCTAGCACTCTTCCACTTATTATCCTATCTTATTTCATCTTACATATTCCCTTTTTTATCTAACATTGCTAATTATTATTTAAAACTTACTACCTCTTTCAGTATTTATCTCTCCTACTTTTATCTAACAGCTCAACCCTCTGTGTTGTCACAAAATCCACAACATCCTATTCCCATCTCTCAAACACCATAACCTTACTTTTTCCAACATTTACCTTCTACTTTTTTCTTCCACACTATTATAGTGAAAACCATTACTCCACAAATTTGGAAATCAGTTTTATTTACTTTAAGCAATTACAGTATTCAGTTTTTTAACCTTTAAACTCTAAACTTAGCTGCATAGCTTGGTAAATGAAAAGACCAAGCAAAGACTTCACAATGTGATTATGTAATACAGGCTGCTAAAGAGTAGAGATTCTTACCTTTGATATCTCTATGGACAATTCCCTTCTCATGTAATGCATTCACTGCCTCCAACAGCTGCCTAGTATATTTCCGCACACTCTCCTCAGGAAGACCAGTTTCTGTACTTGTAGCTAGACTCTCAAGGGTGCCTTCATCACAGTATTCCATGAACATCAACATTTCATCCTGCCACCAAAAGATTTGCTTATATAATTTACCATTTTACTCTAAAGGCAAGAAAAACTTACAAAATTTTAACACGGCAGATAGAAGATTTTCACATAATATACTGTTTTATTACACGTACACAATTTCTGCTAATAGAAATGGAACATCCTTTGCCTAAAATTGTTAATGTTTTATAACTTCTGTCCCATTTAATTTAATTGAGATTTAACTATGGAAATTTAAACTAAGCATAAAAACAAAAAACATACTACTGTACTAGTTTCTCACAAGTCAAGTGGGAGTTGTTAGTCTTGCGTCTGAAGCCAGGAGCAGCCTATATTACTTAGTGGGTTGTTTTCATATATTATAAAATTATAAATATTTATGTAATATTCTATAACACCCATTCCAAGTGATATAGTGAGAGCAATGTTCGTCATCTTCAAGCTTACAATTACTGTACTGTAATATAAATTTCTAGTAGACTGCTTTGGTCAGCACATTTATATCTTCCGCCTCTCAAGTGACAAATAATATACATAGTACTGTACAGTGTTTCCCATCACCTTTAAAAGTCGTGTCATCTGAAGGATGGGGAAGCAACAATGAGGTGTAGGTAATAGTTTTACAGTACAGTACTTTGTTTCTTTTAAACACTCATTTAACTGATGATCATGACTTTTCTAACTACTCTAAATTAAAATGTTACTCAATATGTAAAAATAAAGGTGTACATGACATACATTGTGGATTTCAACACCATAACATTGGACGAGATGTGGGTGTTGAATACCCTCAAAGATGCGTAGCTCATCAGCAACACGTAGTATGGAACGGTGATCGTTGGGCTGTAAGGGAAGGACCTTCATGGCCATCAGATCTCCTGTATTGTTGTTTACTGCTGTGTACACTTTTCCAAACCGTCCAGCACCTGAAAGGGAAACCAATAATATGCATTAGGTCATAAAAAGCATTTATATTACCATTCTCAAGACCATATTTCTGCAGCAAAATAGGACTTCATATAATTGCTTTACTGCTGGATTGGCTACAAGTTTATTGATTTATTACATTACATTGCCTCTGATTACTGCCCTCCAATTTCTGCCAGAAAATTTTTCATCCATGTCGGAAGTCTCCCTGTTACCCCTCCAGCAAGTTCCAGTTTCCAAAACAGCCTCTTTTGTGGGACTCTGCCAAAAGTCTTTTTTTTTTTTTTTTTTTAGGGCCAGATAGACACAGTCAGCCCAACCATCTCTTTTTCTGTAGAATCTCTAAAGGGTTTCTTTATAGAGACCCTTTAAAAAGAATCACTTTACAATTTAAAGGGTCTTCTCAGTTACCATTTTTTGTAGATTGGAACGTTTGCCTTTTTCCAAAGACTGTATCTACTAAGATTCCTGTGGACAAATATGTCTGGAATATCAGTTAGAGTGGGACGCTTAGCTCAGCTGCACATTCTCTCAGCACCCAAGGTGAAACTCCATCTTATCTAACAGCTTTATTTCTTCCTAGCCCCATCAGTAAATTTTCTGCTTCATCTTGAGATACAGTACCTTTATGAATTCTATGGTGTTCTCTGAAATCCTCATTTTGTACAAATAATTTGCAACTATTCATTTAGTGTTTTACACATTTCTTTTTAATTATCAGTGAACTTGGTTCCCATTCTCAATCTCTGGATTTTATCCTTTACATGCAACTTGCTTTTAATGAATTTATAGATAAGGCTAGAACTGTTTTACATGTGTCTACAACCCCTTTCTCAGTTCCTTTCTGCCTCTCTCCTCACTTCTGTGTATTTGTTTCTTGCTTGTTTGTATTTCTGGTATGTTTGAGGGTTAGGCCTATTCCTATAATAATAATAATAATTTATTGGATTGGGGGACAGGAAGCCTGAGTGTATTCATACACGTTTGGCTTGTATCGAGGTCTACCCCCCAAGGTCGAACTACTGACCCCGAATTACAGAAAAATATAAAAAATATATTTGTTATATATATATTATATATATATACATACACACACACACACGCGAGTTCTTACATTTTTATAAAGCCACTAGCACGGATAAACGCAGATCCTTAACAACATCAATGGTGTCCAAGAAATGTGTAAGTACTCATTCATAATGATGAGCTGCCCGAAATCTTAGCGAAGTATCCAAAATTTGCTTACTGTAGGTAATGCATGCACATGACTGTAAAGCTGCCGCCCAGTTGGGTGGGTGTGCAGCAAGACTATATAGTAACTGTGTGACTCACCATAGATGTAAAGTGCCTTGTACAGTGACTGTTGTGAGCCTCTTGTTGATCACTTGTGACAAAAGATTATTGATGTGTGTAATAGTGTGGGCGATTAAATATATATATGTACATGTATGTATGAGTATGTGTACATGTATATATAACATTACTAATTGTGTAACTAGCGTCAAAAGATTGTTATTTGCTTAGCTAAACGAAAAAAAACTAGAGGATTCAGTTCCTGAACCAATTGTGTGTCTGTAATCCTTTACACCACCGCCCACGGGATGGATATGGGGTGCATAATAAAGAAAGAAATTGAACTAATCCAAATTTTTTCCTCGAAATACAACCCGTCCATTCACTGCTGGGTGAACAGAGGCAACAGTTAAGGATTGGCGCCCCTTCAAAGCGCTCACAACGGGCTTAGCGAGCGCTAAATTGCTAAGGCCCTTCGTGAGCTGCATGAGCGGAGGACTTGGCATGGGGACTGCTAGCGAGGGATAGCAGTCCCCATACCACTACGCCATGAGGACTGCTAGATATCTATAGTAGTCCTATGGAAAGATTACATGTTATGATTCCTGACAATTATATTTCTGTGTTATCACATCTGGGTTTTCTTGTCATCTTTCCTTTAGTTCACTTGCTTTAATTATAATCCCATTAATGTTTGAGTACACCTTTAGGATTTGTCTTTGCTTGCCCTGCTATGCGAACTTCATAGTTTCTTTTTGCTTTCCTTATCTCTTTTTTAACTGGTTAGAAATGTTAAAAAAGAGATAAGGAAAGCAAAAAGAAACTATGAAGTTCGCATAGCAGGGCAAGCAAAGACAAATCCTAAAGGGTTTTTTCAGTTATATCGTACTAAGACTAAGGAAAGGATAGGTCCATTAAAAACTGAGACAGGTCAAATAACAGATAGTGATGAAGAGATGAGTAGTATTTTTAATAAATATTTTGTATCTGTATTTACTAAAGAGGAACTTAACAATATGCCTTCAGCCGAACAAGTCTATGTGGGTGGGTACGAGGACAGGTTGACGAGTTTAGCAGTTACCAGGGAGGATGTTCTTAAACAAATAGTAAAACTCAAACCAAACAAATCCCCAGGGCCGGATGAAGTGTTTGCTAGGGTGCTTAAAGAATGCAAAGAGGAGCTTTGTGACCCACTGTCAACCATATTTAATAAATCAATAGAGTCAGGCAGAGTGCCAGAGTTTTGGAAAGTTGCTAATGTGATACCAGTTTTTAAGAAAGGAGATAGATCACTTGCGTCTAACTATCGACCAATTAGCCTAACGTCTATTGTGGGAAAGTTACTCGAATCTATAATAGCAAATAAAATTCGTCTTCATCTTGAAAAACATAAATTAATAATTGAGTCGCAACATGGTTTTATAAATGGCCGTTCATGTTTAACAAATTTGTTATCTTTTTATTCTAGCATTGTTGAGGCAGTTGATAGTGGTAAGGATTGCGATGTTGTATACCTTGACTTTAGCAAAGCTTTTGATACAGTGCCACATGAAAGACTGATTAAAAAAATAGAGTCTCATGGTATTGGGGGTGCTATATTAAGCTGGATTAGGGCATGGCTATACCAAAGGAAACAGAGAGTTAGTATAAATGGAATCAAGTCAGAGTGGGAAAATGTTGTAAGTGGAGTGCCTCAAGGCTCTGTCCTGGGACCTCTGTTGTTTATAATATATATAAATGATTTAGATTCAGGTTTGAGTAGCAACATTTGCAAATTTGCCGATGATACGAAAATCGGTAGGGAAATTAATTCGGAGGAGGACTCACTATCACTTCAAGTTGATCTAGATAGGGTTTTGAAATGGTCAAAGGATTGGCAGATGCAGTTTAATGCTGATAAATGTAAAGTTCTGAGGTTAGGTAATGATGATAGAGTTACAAGATACGAGCTAGATGGTGTTGTGATTGCGAAGTCGGATTGCGAAAGGGATCTGGGAGTTATGATTAGTAAGAATTTAAAACAAAAGGATCAATGCATAAATGTTCGTAATAAGGCAAATCGGACACTTGGATTTATTAATCGCAGCGTTAGTAACAAGACACCTGGTGTGGTTCTCAAGCTATATCTTGCTCTAGTTAGGCCCCATTTAGATTATGCAGTTCAGTTTTGGTCGCCATATTATAGAATGGATATAAATTCACTTGAACGTGTCCAGCGTAGGATGACTAAGTTAATTCCCCAAATTAGAAATCTTTCATATGAAGAAAGATTAACAAAGCTTAAGTTGCATTCACTGGAAAGGCGAAGAGTTAGGGGTGACATGATAGAGGTTTACAAGTGGATGAATGGACATAACCGGGGGGATATTAATAGGGTATTAAAAGTATCAACACAGGACAGAACACGAAACAATGGATATAAATTGGATAAGTTTAGATTTAGGAAAGACTTGGGTAAATACTGGTTCAGTAACAGGGTTGTTGATTTGTGGAACCAATTGCCGCGTAACATTGTGGAGGTGGGGTCCCTCGATTGTTTCAAGCACGGGTTGGACAAGTATATGAGTGGGATTGGGTGGTTATAGAATAGGAGCTGCCTCGTATGGGCCAATAGGCCTTCTGCAGTTACCTTTGTTCTTATGTTCTTATGTTCTTACACTACCTTAAAGCTCACTTTCCAATCTCCATTCTCTCTCTCTTTTTCCATCACTGGCATAAGAACATAAGAACATAAGAACATAAGAACAAAGGTAACTGCAGAAGGCCTATTGGCCCATACGAGGCAGCTCCTATTCTATAACCACCCAATCCCACTCATATACTTGTCCAACCCGTGCTTGAAACAATCGAGGGACCCCACCTCCACAATGTTACGCGGCAATTGGTTCCACAAATCAACAATCCTATTACTGAACCAGTATTTACCCAAGTCTTTCCTAAATCTAAACTTATCCAATTTATATCCATTGTTTCGTGTTCTGTCCTGTGTTGATACTTTTAATACCCTATTAATATCCCCCCGGTTATGTCCATTCATCCACTTGTAAACCTCTATCATGTCACCCCTAACTCTTCGCCTTTCCAGTGAATGCAACTTAAGCTTTGTTAATCTTTCTTCATATGAAAGATTTCTAATTTGGGGAATTAACTTAGTCATCCTACGCTGGACACGTTCAAGTGAATTTATATCCATTCTATAATATGGCGACCAAAACTGAACTGCATAATCTAAATGGGGCCTAACTAGAGCAAGATATAGCTTGAGAACCACACCAGGTGTCTTGTTACTAACGCTGCGATTAATAAATCCAAGTGTCCGATTTGCCTTATTACGAACATTTATGCATTGATCCTTTTGTTTTAAATTCTTACTAATCATAACTCCCAGATCCCTTTCGCAATCCGACTTCGCAATCACAACACCATCTAGCTCGTATCTTGTAACTCTATCATCATTACCTAACCTCAGAACTTTACATTTATCAGCATTAAACTGCATCTGCCAATCCTTTGACCATTTCAAAACCCTATCTAGATCAACTTGAAGTGATAGTGAGTCCTCCTCCGAATTAATTTCCCTACCGATTTTCGTATCATCGGCAAATTTGCAAATGTTGCTACTCAAACCTGAATCTAAATCATTTATATATATTATAAACAACAGAGGTCCCAGGACAGAGCCTTGAGGCACTCCACTTACAACATT